GTGTCTAGTGCTTATCGGAGGTAAAACTTGTTAAATGGAGGTAAACAATATAATCATTCATCATCATTAGTTTGGGGGGAGTTAATCTATACCTACTTGCATGAATTCATGGATCTAAATACTGCTCTTAAAAATTAAAGTCCGAGAAGACAAGAACCATCAGAGGTTTCCCCGAGGGTGCATTCATAACTTTTGTGTAGCTTTTTGACAGTTAGCTAGAATGAGTTAATTATCAATTACCCATGTGACCTGCGTAGAATCTTGTTACCATACTGAATTTTTTACTTGTTAAAGAAGAATATCTCCTTTTTTTGCCTAAATTCACATTTTCGATAAACGACCCCTTAAAACACGTATACTCGTATCAAATAGCTGCCAAAAATTCTTCAAATGTCAAAACCTGTAAATGTTTATGTAATGAAACAAAATTTTGATGAATTTTTTGTATCAATAACAAAAAAGGTAGATATAATATTCTGTTGATCTCCTCGATGATTTCAATAATTAAGTGTCATGTTTGAAAGAATTAAATGCTTTTATATTTAATAAAATAGACACTGTTAGAAAATCAAGGCTTCAAAGATTTGTTCAGGATTAGCCAAGTCTTAATTTGCAAAGCATTCTGACTTAGTTTGACTTTTTAAAACTCTAATCGAAGCACATACTAGTACTCTTGAGGTTATAATGTAGTATTAGGAATAAACAAAAGATTTAAGAAGCTTATATAAAAAAGTCTTAAATCAGCGTGTTAATTTCACACTTGATCAGAACTTCAAGTTAATGCTTGTCCAAAGAGAAAATAAATGTTTCAAATTATTAATAAAAAGAAATGGTTTTGATTACAGATTAGATTATTTTAATCCTATAAACCCAAGGAGCTCTTGAGAGCATAGTAGGGATAAACTTCGTACTTAAGGTGTGAAGGCAGGTTTTATTTGTAGACGGTCACACTGTGAAGTCTTCAAATCCAGGTTTTTGACAACTTTTACTCTATCCCCTTTCATCAAATGAATGGGAAACCGAACACCTTGACGATACTCTTATTCCATTAAAACAGTGGGTGACTCTTGTGGAATGAAGCCTGCTGGAATGAGCTTCCAAGGGAATGTGTTTACTTTTAAATGGAGCGCGAAAAATATTTGTCAACCTTCGTATGAAGTGAATTTATTAATCAACACTGAAAAGAATGAAAATGACACATGAATTTTGGATGACTTTTCAAATTGATAAATACCCCCATTTCTCTCTTTTCATTAATAGTCCCAGCTTGGATGAATGGAAATGAATGCAAAGTAAAAAGTCAATGAGCTCGGCATAAGTGGATTATACAAGGCTGTATTTGAATTTATATTTGCTCAGTATAGAAATTGGGGCTTTTTTGGCCAATGAAAACAAAACGCTGTTGGATGGCCCGATTTGATATCTATTAAACTGTCAAAGGATTCATCGCACACCAAAATGCTAAGGGAAGCCCATGAACTATTCATTTCTTTCCTCTACAAAAGAAGAGTTCCAATCACTTAACCTTTTACTATCTATTACATATATGATGATTGAATTATAAAACATAAAATTTGAAGTGTGTTTTTTTTTCTAAGGTAAAATTCGAATTACAATATGTCATTTGAAATTTTTTTTAGAAGAGGAAAGTTTTAAATTAATAGATTTGAAAGGACCATAGTTATTACCATTTAATGGTCCGAGACCTCCTTCCTGTGTACTCTTTATAACAGGTAAATGTTGAAGTTTTACATAAAATGCAAATAAAATGGGGAGACATCTTATGATTGAATTATGAAGGGTTGAAAGGTGATTCTTTTGGATCACTATCAGGTATAATAATCTATCTTGATATCCATGTGCAGCAATGAATATCTGTCACGGTTGACAGACTCAAGGGTGTTCCATTCATAAACATTATGATTTGTAGGTATATCATCGTTGCTGACATATTTTTTTCTGTTAACAGTAAACTTTCATAACATTACCCTTCTCAGATTTCAATAAATGGTTTTTACGTCAACGGAAACAGATCTTAATCCACGTGTTTGTTGGATAATCCCTACACAAATACTCATTTAGAATACAAATTAAAAGCCATAGTTTATGTAAATCTTCAATATGAACAATAAATACAACACAAAGTAACAAAACAAAAGTAAACCACAATATCCATTGCTGAAAGTTGTTTGTCAAAGAATTCTTAAAATCTCCCAACTTATTCGTTTATTAACCAGTTTAAGTTTTTCTTTTTTCCCCAAATATCCAAATATTGTATCATCGAGAGGGAGATTATGTGAGAAAATGAAGTGGATTCAAACCCTTGGCAACCGATCATATTGTAGATACTCTAACAGTCCGCTCATTCGGTGGATACTCTAACAACCCGCTCACATTGTAGATACTCCATCAGCCCGCTCTTTGGATGGATACTATACCAACTTTTCACTTTGTAGATACTCTACTATAACCCGATCATGTTGTCGATTATCTACCAACCCGCTCACTTTGTAGATACTCTACCAGCCCGCTCATTCGGTGGATACTCTACCAACTTGCTCACTTTGTAGATACTTTACTATAACCCGATCATGTTGCTGATGCTGTACCAACCCGCTCATATTGTGTAAATATTAGCTCATTGTGCAGGTATCTTAGCGACCTGCTCACAGTGTAGATGCTGTACACAGACAGTTCACATTGTGGTACTCTACCAACCCACTCATATTGTAAATTACCAACCCTTTTTGTGGATATTCAACCAACTCACTCCTATTCTGGATACTCTACCAATATTCTTACTTTATGAATACTATAACATCTTGCGTATATAGTGGATACTCTGCAACTTCACTCACATTGTGGATACTCTACCAATCCTATCTTACTGTAAATACTCTACAAACCCTTTCATTTTGAGGATATTCAATGAACTTGCTCATATTATGTATACTTTACCAACTTGCTCCATTTGTGGATACTTTACCAACCTGCTCATATTGTGGATAGTCTACAAACCCACTTATTTTATGAATATTCCACCAACTCACTCATTTTATGGACACTTATCCAACCCACCATGTATTCTCTACCAGCTTGCTCACAATGTGGATCTCTACCAACCTGCGTATTTTGGGGATACTCTACTCACTCGCTCACATAATTGCTACTCTTCCAACCCTATCTTACTGTAAATACTCTACCAATCCTCTCTTTTTGAGGATATTCTATGAACTCGCTTACATTGTGGATACTTTACCAACTTGCTCTATTTGTGGATAGTCTACCAACCTGTGCATATTGTTGATAGTGAGTCCACAAACACACAGTTTAATGGATACACCACCAACCCCCTCATTTTATAAATAATTATCCAACCCACTGTATATTCTCTACAGACTTGCTCACATACTGGATCTACCATCCTGCTTTTGAGAATACTCTATCAACTTGCTCATTGTGGCTACTGTACTGACTATACCTTACTGTAAATACTGCTCATTTGGTGGATACTCTACCAACTTGCCCACATTGTGGATACTCTACCAACTTGCTTACATTGCAGCTACTCTATTAATTTGTTCTTATTGTGGCCACACTATACCACCCACTCATATTGTTGATGCTCAACCAACCAGCTCATATCATGGATACCCCCACCCCCCTAAAAAAACCCATTCAATATGTTGTTATTCTACCATCTCATCAGACAAATTCCTACCTGACCCCTTACAACTGCATGTATGATCATAATTCTTTCTATAGTATACAAGCTCTAAAATGATACAGCATCTGATCATAGATGTTGGAGCAACTGTTGATCAGTTATAGTGATCAGTGAGTTTTACACACATTAGTAATTCTATGAGTATTTGTGAACTAACTATTGATTGGTGTTTTTTTTTGTCACCAGAGTTAGTCTCTAGGAGAATCTCTCTTTCTCTCTCTCTCATTTTTGATTCCTGAATACCCCACCACAGAAGTATTTCAGTTTCCTTTTCTTTATTATTATAACAAGATGTATAATGACAGTAAATTATTCTCACTTTGTGTTCTGGCTTTTATCTTTTGTACAGTTAACCATGATAAATTGCATGTAAATTCCCCATATGCCTCCTAATTAACCCTGGTCAATTGTCTGTTTCTTGCTCTGCAGGTAAAATCTTGCAGCAGTCAGACCAGGTAAAACAACTGTTACATCAGGTGATGCTACTAGCATACTCCTTCATTGGAATTTTTTGCATCATTAGTGAAAAATTACAAATCAGAACATTTTGTACAAAAATGCTTTTATTTGACATATGCATTAAGTTCTCCAAAAATTTCCTGAATCCCATTGTCTTTGGTTACCAATTTCTTGTAGTATTTCAGCACATTGCTTCTTTTTCTGAGGAGTGGAAACAGAAATATTCAGGGATTTGATCTTTATTTTTATGAATTAAAAATTTGACATTTTGGCAATCAATACCTTTACATTAATTAGTTATAATGCTAATTTGGATGCAAACACTTTAAACTCATTGACTTTTTGGGGATAAAATCAAGATTATCTTAAGGTCAACATAAAATATTGATATAGTGTTATTTTTGTTTTTAACTCTGATCTGCTACATTAACTTCCAAAGAAAACTCCTGTATGCAGATATAATTACTCAATTCTTGCACAAAAAACCTCTTTGTTTCCACATGTCAACATGTACTAATTAATTAACCCAATCAGATTGGCCACACAATGAATCTAGTGTATTGATTCAATTGCTTTAATATTATGATATGACAACTTAACCTCTTTATTGATTTATACTAGTTTTCATCACAAAGTACTGACATTAAGTATTCATAACTTTTTAGTAGTTTTGAGGAGTTATCAAGCCGTGTAAAACGGGTGGCTCTTAACCGTCTGCTACTCATCTCATTAACATGGTGGACCCTTTAACACTTTTGACAGAACTCTGTCTTCTGCCAGAAATTTGATTTTTTTTTTTTTTTTTTGGTTTCTTGGCGGGTCATTAGATGACTTGATGGAGATGTCGTACAATTTGGAACCACATTCTTGACCATATTGTCTTGCAACTAATTTAAAGGACAGTTTTGTTGTTGACTGAGAGAGAGGCAGACAGTATAGGGTGTAGATTGCTATCGCGGTGGTGATAAGTTGTTTCTCTGTGTACTGGTATTACATACAGACAAGGGGAGTTTAAATGCTAGCGCTATATCATACAACTTACATTCAGTCCAAGCATTTAAACTGAGATGATCTGCTTTTGATTTTTATTTTTATACAGTTGACTTTTCTTGCATTGCTTTTTTTACTCTGTATTTATACACTTATTAATTACTATTGGAGGAATTATACACTGTGTTGACTCCTGGGAGCAGTGGATTATAGCACCTTTTGGGATTTAGCAGTGACTTTCTAATGCTTTACTGGATTTAATGTTCAAGGAGATTCTGCAGTGATATTTTATCAGGTAAAAAAAGGAGTAATTTTTTTGAAAGAGAAAAAATCATGCATATTCCATTTATAATTATATACTCCTATTTTTGTTAGAGTCTAAATGGCTTTAATGAACTATTTCAATAAAAAAGATAACTGTTTATATAATCTCTTTGATTTTCTTTTAAAGCTGTATAATATTCAAGTGTATTATTTAATACAGTTGATCTTTTGACTGTTTTGTAAATTTGATATTTGATTTACTAATAGGGATTTTACAAATACAAATGTAGAACCTCTTCACAATGTTTAATCAATCATTTAGAATCCTTTTAACTCCCAAAGTTCTCTGATTCACAATGTTTAGAGAAAGTCAACACTGTTTACTTTGATATTTTTTGGGGGGAATTCATTTATCAGGCAAACAAGCTCTAAAACAACAAAGATTTTCGACAGACCAGAAGTTTCTTTTAGGGATTGTCTGCTTACAGTATTAATTATGAAATGAAAATATATCTTTTGAAAATAAAATTATCCTCAAAATGCCCTTAATGATAGTTATCTTCCAGATCATTGAAAATATTGAATCAGCTAATCATGCCGCGAATTTAAGATGACCAATTTGCAGATTATATCGCAGATTAAAATTCTAAAGGAAATTTAAAGAAGTTTGGAATGAATGTAAAATCCGAACTGAAAAGTTTGTTCAAAGCCACCAATCCAATGGCAAATATTTTGATAGGAATAATCAGTCTTGTGTATTTTAATTCCCTCAATCTTTCAAAAATTTAATGAAAATAAAAGTTTTAAAGGTGAAATGGAATGAGTTGGCACCCATTGTAATCTGTTTGTTGCTTTTCTTGTGAGAAGTAGATTTTAAAGGTTTTTGTCTCCAAATGACTGTTATCCCATTCTCTCAAGTGTATTGATATAATCTGGCTTGATAGGGTTAAATTTCTAACACCATCAAATATTTGGATAAAGTTTATGATCTCCCTTGATTTTTTTACTTATCAGCGGAAAACTTTATGACTGGAGGCTTAATTTATTGGATGCAACTGTTAAGAAATTGGCACACTCCTAACCTTTTGGTGCGACATTTGCAATTACTGAAAATATATCGTGTTGCAATATGATCACTATGCTGTAAACACCTCATTCCGTGCATTCATTACTGAAATAAAATTTATTTCTGGAGAGGAAAAAAAATTTTTTAATGGTTTAAACATCACAGGTGCAAAGGGAAAAATTTGTTACCACCTAATTAATACTGAATTATCTTTTTTTTATGGCCCCCTGTGATCTCAAAGAACTCTTTGAAATAATTTCAAGAATATTTCTAAACAAATTATCAAAGAAGAGGGAAGCATTGTGTATTTCATTAGGTGGTGTTCTTCATATTACACCAGATTTATGAGGGACAGGCATTTTTCCATGGTTTCTGACGTGCATCTTCTCACTTCTTTATGTAATTTCTTTCGTTTGACAGATAGAAGATGGCACCACTTAGCCATTGTGTGGTGCTGATTTTGTGCACAGTGGTTGGCAGACTCTACTCCCTAAGTACAGGTAAATCCTAATTCAGTCTGACATTCAACCCATTTCCTGCACACACCAGCAGAAACCACAAAAATCTCTTGAAAATATGAAAAAATAAATAATAAATACATGCCATATTTAAGGATACAGGTAAAAAAAACTTTAATATCTTTATATTTTCCTTTCTAAAGGATTGTCATACTATTTATTTTCAATTTCTGCATCAGGAAACTAATTAAATGATTTAGTCTTCAGAAACCTAATATTGTAAGAGGAGAAATGATCAAGTAAGCCATTTATATAGGAAAAATGATACAGAAAAACTAGATCATAACTGTCATATGATTCACTGCTGATTTTGTCACTAAAGGGATATATGTTACAAGTTTTTGAACACAACAACCCACTAGTAAGTGTTGTATGAAATGACATATTACCAGAACAAATGTAATCTTCAGATTATTATTGGGTATAAAGTGTGATTTCACAAGACACCCAAGGGAGATAATCAATAGCCATTAATCTGGGGTGTTGAAATGCTTGACTTTCAAGGAGCTAGTGACATAATTATCTGGAGGGGGTGTCAGGTATAGATATTTTTGGGCAGCATTTAATGGCTTTAAGTTAAGGTGTAGGCTCCATAATGAGAATGTCTGAAAAAGGGATTTATACTTGTATATAGGATTAGCAGGGCAGCTGAAGTTGTGACAGGGGAGATAATTATGACTTTTGTACACTGATGTCATATGAGTTACAGGCATTAGAAAGGTCTCTTTTCTAATAAAAATAAACCCTATATATGTAGATTGAGTCATTTATTGGTGAGTTTACCCAAGGAATGACTTTTTGTTACGATTTACAACTTAACAATGTAAGTGATACAAAGGTTTTAATATATCAGTTACATGAAAATTTGGACATTTCTAGGTCATTGCTATTACCCTCAATAAAATCAAGAAAAAGAGATATTTCAGCAAATTTAAATGTACCCTTCTATTTAATTCCTACCTAAAATGTGTGGTAGTTGAATGCAGTGAACATTTTGTAATATCTTTATGAAGCAAAGATCTAAAACACCAGAAGCAAAGGGTGGGCCCTACTATTTGCTTGATTGTAACAATAAAAGAGATTCTAGTCTTCTGATCCATTTTGTTTCTAGGTGCACTGTGTTTATTTTAGATGTGTAAGATGGGGTGTTCAAAGTAAGGGTGATTATGATAGTGTTTGTTCATATGAATTTTTTTATTGACGGAAGGTCGACCTTGTGGGTTTCCGATGGTGGGCAGGTGCAAATTGAATACTCCATTTACTTAGAAATTTATTGACACAGTATGTGTGTACATTTAAATATACTTAATTTAACATGGCATCTGCCTTTTGGAAAATAATTTAATAAGGAAAGTTGCTTTGGTCTTAAAGGAGGGGTTTGTCATCTTTAATGAAATAAAGTGTCATTTATGAACAAATGCACCCCCATCAGAGTCAATTATTGCAGCTTTCATCTATAAAAGGATTTCCCAATTTATATTTCAAATTTAATTTGTCGTAGCATTGGAAGATTTTTATAAATTTACCTTACTACCCCACACATATTTTTGGATAACGTCTTTGTTCTTTGATTTGCTTTCAATACTGTGTGTTCTAAAGAGAGTTTTTCTTTTCATGTTTTTGTACACAATGCTAAAAAATACACAATGAGTTTTAAATTGAGTGAAAAATTTTATGTGTCAAAGTCTATTAGATACAAAGAAATTTTAACCTAATATTCTTTAAAAGAGATCATTTAAAAGTTATTTATTCACACCAGTATATAATATTTCTCTTTCTGATATAAATCTACAAATTTAACTTTGAAGCCTTTTTTTCTTTTAAAAGTACAAAGGTTGATATCATATTCAGTTGTGATATCAGTTTTTGCATCCTTCATTTAAGGGGTTTAAAATGCATCATTAAACACCGTTTTCTCTAATAAACAAATGTATGATCCCTTTTGCAACATCTCATAAATATATGGGGAAAAAATGCTGGGCTTTATTTAGCATATCTATTTGAACTCTTATTATTTTGCAAGGACATTTATCCTATTTATAAAAGAAAGGGAGAATGTAAAAAGAGAAGGATAAAAAGAAAGAAAATTAAATTTTTGAATGAATTTTAGGGAGAAAGCTGTTTAGGGATATAGATTTCTTCAGCAGGTTGTACAGGGAGTGGTAGAATTATCACAGAGAATCAAGTGTCAGTCTGTAAAGGTTCTTGGAATGGCCATATAAGAAATGCCACCAGTCTATGTGCCCAAGGTTGGGGAGTATGCTCATACAAGGAACAGCATTTATTGAGGAGGATCCAATGGAATCAGGCCACGTCTATTCCGGGCTGTTACGCCATTAACGCTGCACATGATGGAGGTCGCTGTCGGGAATGTGGAAATACCATGGATCAGGTATGTGATTGACACGGAAGAGTTATGTCCCTTTTCACTCTCATTCCAAAAGCTGGTGATCTAGTCACATTAACAATATGATTTGAAATATGCACCTCTCTGCTGATAAATGAGAAAACTGGTGCAATACAAATGTACACAGCATTATCTACAGAAACAATATTTCATCACTCCCCAACTATTTCTTACTAATGCTATTAGTATGTGTATTATTGTATCAATGTCATAAGTATTTTAATAAGTGATGGACATAAACTCTCACTGCATGCATCACTTATCTTTATCTTAATGCTGTATTTGAAAAGATTTTCATCAAAAAGATTTTCAATACATACATATATGCATGTTTTTTCTCCATACAAGAGAAATATACACCCTGATAAAAAACACCAACATCCATTTATTACCTCGAATTCAATCCCATCCATAAATATATGCTAAGCTAGGAATTATAAAGGGTTTTATATTTTGGTAAGGAGCTCTTCCAGTTTTATTCTGAATAATATAAGGCATACCCTTGATTTTATTCCTCTTAAAATGGGTGTTAAATATGAAATTGCATTGAAACCAAACAATATGAAGAACTCCCTATAACTACGTCAGAGAGGGAAGTCATTAGCACTTTCAAAAATTGCTTCGTAATTGTGAAGGAGTAGACCAGATGGGGAGAATGATAAAAAAACAAAATTATCAAAATAACCCTGAATATTTTAACACCTCTGATAACATTATCATAACTGTCGTCAGGTAGCGATTAAACAAAACGTGTGCGTGTGTACATTCCTCGACTTAAACGCATTGTAATGCCTCAGATTACGTAGAATTCAATTGTTCCATAATGTAATGCTCAATAAAAGGAAGAAAACCAAAAAATGTTACCAGATTGACTAAATCAGACAAAACACCAAAATATTTCATTCCTTCTGATATTTAAGTAGCACTGAAAACATGTCAGTGGCCAGTTTTTGCAATATTTCTGCCCGTCATTAGGTACAGAATTTATGCCACAGTTGCTGTTTTCCTTTCTAATTTCATGACCTTCGCACAGCATTGGGAGGTTTATTAAGGATTCTGTTGGGACCATATTTCCGGAATTTCCCTTGGTACAAGAGATCTGTCCCCCGATTTTGTGGCTATTTTATGGGTGGAAGTCCCATAATAAATCTATATGGCTCTAATGCAATCCCCTGAGTTTACTTAGTGACTATAATTCAGACATTAAAGTGATGGCATCTAACCCATTTATCCTTCTGCAGTCCTCTGGTGTGAGTAAGATAACAGATTCAAACAAATTTTTTCCTATAAAACTTATAACAAGATTTTGGAGAAATAAAGTGAACCACTCTGAGACAGAGTTTTTTGGCATTTATTAATTAGCCTTAGCTAACAGCATTTTTCATATGGATGATTACAGCATAAATGTCATAGCTCAAACTTGTTACTGCAAGATATCTTTTGATTGCAACAATATTATTTTGATTTTTCCATTTGGGTTCTGAAAGGTAAACATAGTCCTTTTTTTGATATGAAAGATATGATAATTCACAAATTATAGTATATATTTTTTGAAGAACAACAAACAATTTACTTCCATACATTTTTCATAGAATAAAATTGTTCTACACTACAACTCCTAAATCTGATATTTTACATTTAGGATGATTTGGCTGGGATTGGTAAGCAATGTCCACATCAGAACATTGGTCAGACGTCCTGCATCCATGGAGGTCGTATTGATGCCAGCTGTTGTGTGGATGCTCATTTCCACACTGCGTGTCACCAAACAAAAGACATAACAGGAGTTGTCTGCTGTAAGGTTAAAGGTCAGAAGCCTCAGATTTTAGCACGACCCCAGGAGAAGTTGCTGGTCAGGGAGGGGAAGATATTTCTGCTGAGTTGTCAGGCGTCCGGATCACCTAGTCCCACCATACACTGGTACAAAGATGGACGGCAGATTTCAGATGGGGGCAGAAGCCGAGTCTCTGTTTTGTCTTCAGGTTTATAATTAAGCTTTAAAAAAGTCAAGAACCAAAATCATTTTAAATGTATTTACAATAAGTACTATCTATGCTGCATGAAGGGAGTTAATCTCCTTTCAAATTTCCTTCCTTGAGGAAGTTCTAAACACTAATAAAAATGATATTTGGACTTTCAGAAAATTGTATCATATTTATTGTGTTTATATTGAGTTTATCTACTTCATTTTCAACATAAGGTACCCAACTAATTTCTTCAAAAAAAAAAAAAATGTTCAAAGACAATGAAGTATTGGTAAACAGAAATCCTATAGTTTTATTACATTGGAAAAAATACATGCAAACTATGTTTTCAATTACTTTATTTTGGTCTAATATCATGTTGAGAACACTTAAATCTATTTCAAGTTGTGTCATTTACTGTAGATTTTCATTGATTTTATTCTGCATCAAAGGCCAGATCACTTTATCTGCATAAAATTACCAAGAAATTAGAACTATTTGTGAGCAGTGTTCAGAGCTTCTTTAAGTAGACTGGAACCAGCACGATGTTATTGAAAATTTTGAAAACATGCATGCAACAATGAAGAAAAAGAATAAATCTGGTGCCAAATTTCATGGACACTGTTGTATTAGACAGTCCAAACCCTTCACTGAACATAAAATCTCTATAAGAGTTACTGCCCTTTTTTCTGTCTGATTCTAATGTATACCATTTGACAACAGGTGACTTGCTCTTTACATTGGCTAAGAGATCTGACACAGGACTGTACAGCTGTGAAGTTGTCAATGAACATGGAATGGACATGGCTAGCACCAAAGTCATCATAGAGGGTAAGACATGTCTGTGAGAGTGCTCAATATTTATCACTGGTGTTGAGTCAAGAGATTTTAATCAACATGAAAAAACCTGAAATTCTGATTCAAGATGTGCATAAATAAGAAAAAAAAATCTTTTTCATGATTCTCAAGTAAGCCTCAGGAATTTTGCCTACTACTAGATGATTTGTCATCACACATACTTCTTTTTCATGGACAATATATTATCAACAAATGAAGTACCTTTTAAAGAAACTGCTTTGAGAGCCTGGAATTTGATTCATTTTCTTTGTTTCTCTTATTGACTAGATCCCCAGTCAGGGTGTAGAGGTGGGTCTTCAGATGGGATAGTCATACACAGAGATGTACATGCCTGTAAAGGGAAGTGGGAGGGGCATGTCAAAAAGGGGAGGAGTCTATGTCAGAGAGGATGGAGGGTCTGCAGTCCCAAGGATCGAGCCTCACTGCACCATCTTTCATGGCTAGACGTCTTTGATCTGAAAGGTTGCTATGCCTACAATGCTGCGAACTCTAGGGGAAAATGCCAAAGGTGCAATTTTTTTCTATCACCAGTTCTAGTTTATAAGTATCGATTAATATTTTTTTGAAAAGAATCATGCTTTTATACTTGCTCTTTACAACTTTCAGATGCACAAATGGAAGGATGGCAGGGGTGGGCCAACACTGTGGAAGGATGAGATACTCCAAATCGTCTTGTTTGGCCCATGGCATGGTTGATGTTTTCAAACCCAAAGACAAGGTTGATAGCTGTTCCTACAAAGAGGGGGTCACCACAGGAGTTCTTTGCTGTAGGAAAAAGAAACAACAATCTGGTAAGTAAAAAAAATTCCTACAATTTCATTTCAATATTAAAAGTACAGTCAAACTTTGTTATCTCAACTCCAATGGACCAAGAGAAAACCTCCAGATAACCAAGGATTAGAGATATTGAGATTAAAATATGTAGAGAAAAAAGTCATTGGAACTTCCAAATCTCTTTGACATATCAATGGTATACAAGATATCAATTTTTGAGATACCAAAGTTCAACTGTACATATACAGTCATGTATATGGATATTTTTACAGTAGATTTTTTTTTATTTATATATGCAGTTATAATTCATAAACCAGCACTATGCACAGCTAAATGTGAGAATGGTGGAACCTGTGTTAAACCCAATGTTTGCCAGTGTAAACCTGGATACAAGGGAGCCACTTGTCACATAGGTAAAATGGATCATTCACATTTTTTAGCTCTAGTCAGAGACCAGAAGAGCTCATGCAATAGTAAGGTGTTCAGTGAGCATTGTCCTTCTGTGAGTCTGTCTGTCTGTAAATAAAATTTCAATATCATAACTACTCCTCCTATAGATTTGGTCCATTTTCAATATAATTCAATACATAAATAGATTTGACTAAGATACATAATTCTATTTATTAGTTTTTGATTTTGATGAACGGTGTTGCCATGGTAACTTAAAATAGAAATTTCTATGAATTTCTTTCAAAATACATGTACTACTCTTCCTGAAGTTTTGGTTGACAAATGATGTTGCCATGGTTACTAAAAATAATTTTTTGTGAATTTTTTTCAAAAGCCTACTCTTGAAACAGATTTAGTCTGACTGCAATAAAACTCATTATAAAAAGAGACTAAACCAAGAATCATTATTCTTTTTATTGCTGTTGCCATAGTTTCAAGTCAAAGTTCTACTTTTCCTTTGTTATAAGTACAAACCAGAAGAGCTACGTCTCATCAGAGACTTCTGGTCTTATTTCTCACCTACCAGTTCATATCAAATATAGTAAAGGAATCACATTAAAATTTACATGTGTAAAATCTATCAGTTATACATCATATACACAACAAGTGAAGAATGTCACTGATGAATTTTCTTGTTCTTCAAAACAATCATAATCCTAATAAAAAAATCACTTAACATTTATATTATGTGTATCTTTATTTTTGTCTTTAAAAAATATTTTGTAAATTGAACACTTTTATTGTGATGAAATAATCTTTCTGAGGAATAATTTATTACATTGCAGCGGTTTGTGAAGGAGGGTGTGGCTCATTTGCAACGTGCATCAAACCGGGAAAATGCAAGTGTAAAGAAGGTTACATGGGTAAAAATTGCCGCAAGAAAGCAAAACATGAATGTCTCCGATTCTGTATGAAGAGCTGTCCATCTGGACAATGTACCTGTCCTAAATATGGAAGATCCTGTACAAAAGGTGAGATATAAATCCCTGTCCTAAATATGGAAGATCATGTACAAAAATGAGCTATTGATACCTGCATGTCCTAAATATGGAAGATCCTGTAAAAAAGATGAGAATAAATTCCTGTCCTAAGATCATGTACAAAAGGTGAGATATAAATCCCTGTCCTAGATATGGAGGATCCTGTACAAAAGTTGAACTAAAATCCCTGTTCAAAAATGAAAAAAATCCTGTACAAATGGTGAGATATTGATCCCTATCCTAATTATGGAAGACTGTGTACAAAGGGAGAGATATAAATCCCCGTTCTGAAAATGAAAAAAAAAATTCTGTACAAAAGTCAAGATAATGTTAAGATAAAATGGAAGGTCCTGTACGAAAGATGAGATATAAATCTCTGTCTTAAAATGAAAGATCCTGTACAAATCATGAGATGTAAATTTTGTCCTTAGATTATGTACAAAAGGTGAGATATAAATTCTGGTCCTTAAATTTATGTACAAAAGGTGAGATATAAATCCATTTCTTTAAATTATGTACAAAAAGTGAAATATAAATCCATGTCCTAAATACAGAACATCATTCACAAAAGGTGAGTTAAGAAATAAACAACAATGTTAAAAAGTTCTCTGGGAAATGAACTTGGTTGGTCACGTGATCAAATCCTGTGAAGCCCGAAGGGCTTCTCAGAAGATTTGATCACGTACCAACCAAGTTCATTTCCCAGTGAACTTTTTAACATTGTTGTTTATTACTTTTATTTACATTTGAGACGAATATTCTGAATAGAACTGCATTTATTACACGAACGGCCCGCCGTATTGCTATGTTGTGACGCGCAATGACCTAGAAGTTGTTTGGTCTTGAGAGTTCGCCTCGCTCCAACATTTGAATACTTACATTGATGTTTAGCAGTCCAGTTCAGGAAATATCTGTTCATAATGCAAAAACAATGATCGCTACTGGGAATTATCTTACTATTATTGTACGAGTTCTTTATATATAAAGTCAAAAGCGGTGCTATCGTCTTCAGTTTACATACCTTCAAAGGAATTTCGGGTTAAAAAGGTAAGCGTGATTTTAGGCTAATTAGAAACATTCTTCACACCGAAGAAAGATCTAACGATCATTTGTTGAACGAAAAAAAAATAATTTATATGTTTCAATAATTTTATCTTTTTCATCGCTTTGACGGTTCAGAAGTTCCGAAACCAGTGTCACTGTGACAGAAATATGTAGGGTGAATTCACCATGCATCGGACACCCTCGCACTTCAGCAAGTTCTAGCGTTATCGCTACCGACCGAATATTATCAAAATGGAACTTAATATGTAGTATGTGGTTAAAATATAAATTTTTGACACAACTGTGCCCTATTTATTGAGAAAATATCACTAAAAATCGATTTTTTCGTAATAAGTCAGAATTCACCATGGATCGGACAAAATTCACCGTGCATCGGACATAAGATATTTAAACCAGAAAAATATCATACCTTGATCTCGGTGCTTTAAAATGAGTGATATCAACACATTTTTATCTTTTATTTAAAAATTAACCTTCTAATTAGATTTGAATGACTATTTCGATCCACAAATGTGAAGTGATTTTAGTTGCATCACATTGCCTTAGAAAGGCTTTACAGTACTAGTAATATGGCAACTGGCGCCTTTGTCTCGTGGGTTATCATCATCTAGTTTAAAGAAATAAATTGAGTCCACTTCTAGTCGTCATATATCGATTATTTGTATTTTCACTGAAAATTTAGAGTTTCTATTTTCTATTTCCGTAAAAAACAGCTGTCATTTGGGTTTTATATGAAAATGGAAGTGATTACCCATGCATCGGAAAGTGTCCGATGCATGGTTAATTTGTGTCCGATGTACGGTGAAATAAACATACTAGTTAAAAACAACTCTAAGAAATATTATACAAACATTGAAGTAAAATTTTTGAAAATTTCTGTAAAATTATCAATTATTGATAAAAATTTACCTAGGTCCGACCCGTTCCATTGACGTCTATTTAAAAGGACGACAACTCTAAAATTGCAAAATCGTAAATTTCTGGTTACTCCCCTTTGATGATGCAAAATATGACGTAATTTCAAGGCCATTCTTGTGGTATTTTTATCACAACATGAAAATAAAAATCGGCATCATTAAAAAGTTTAAATCTTCACCTTTAAGACAGAAACAAGTAAAAACACGGGGAGACTTGGGTTCAATGAAAGTTTATTGCTTAAAGTTGTCCGAAGCAAGGTATGTGTCCGATGCATGGTTAACTCACCCTAGACAAGATATCATCTCGCTGTGTGATTCGGTCACGCCATGACCTCTGACCCCCTAATAAGTTCATACAGAATTGAACATATTTTCTCTTCTATAGGTTCATCTAAGAAAAATATTTGCAAATGTAAATAAATATATGTAAATCCCAGTCTAGAGTTAAATTCCCTATATATACTAGTATATACAATGTATTTCCCTCAATTAATATAATAGCACTGATTTAAATTTTAAAAATATTTTAAGATTGTCTGTGTTTTCCAAATGAAAAAAAAAATAAATTGGTTATGTATTTTTCTATTTTTAGTGCTATGGATGCATAGAAATAGAACAAATTCATGAAGGCTGCAAGAGAAGAAGGGGAGATAAATTCTGGGAATCTGTCAACCATTCCAGCAGAAACTGGGTGGTTCAGCATTATAAGGCAACATTCCGTGAGAGACTGTACAGCTTGGGGTATCCTGCTGCCAGTACCCACAATAATACCAGCCAATTTATCATGTGATATATGTATTTCCTCAAACAATGAAAAACTTACTCATGTATTGGCCTATGTTACTGTCTCTGAATATACTGACTACATGTGTAAATGTATTGAATAAATATAAAATACGTATGATTATACTAGTGTAACATAAAATTAAAAAAAAAAATTAAATTCATTAGCAAAGCATTAAACATGTTTGTAATAAATTATAATTACATTTTATTTTTCATCAACATTTTAGAAACATGTAAATCATACATTAATTAATGTAAATACAATGTGTATCAAGACAAATCCATGCAGAAGATATTTTAAATCGTGTGAAACTTAGGTTGTCATGGAGAGTACTGATATAAACATTTCTGATTAGTAGTATTATAGTAGTTCAAGATTTTCAGTCTAAAATCTGGGGCTTTCAATAATTTTTTCCAGTCTGTATTTGGATTTCTTCTAGGATTTTTAAAAGCATGCTTTAACATGGTAAACAAACAAAGTGTAAGAACACATGACTAAAAATCAGTTAAAAAAAATTAATTAAAATCTCGCAGCAAAAAATTTATTGAGATCACCTAGATGAGTTCTTAATAAGACAATTAATGTGATATCTGCTTATTTAGGCTAATTTTCTGTTGTATGATTTTGAATTTTGAAAACAATATACAATCATAATTTGCTTATCAGCAAGTTTCATTCACATTTCCACATTTCAGAGGCAATATTACTCTATCTACCTCATTTATGTATTCCATTGACTTGTATCTTTTTTTTGAGATTATTTTCATGCAATATCTGCACAATGTTTCAAATTAATAGCTAATATTCATAATTAATTCATGCATTTGTCAATTTCATTTGCTAAATTGATTTTATAAATTGATTTGTGTATATTAATTATTATATGTTGTATACTAGCAATTAAAGTTCACAAATTCAATTAATAAAAGCATTTATATTGTGTAGAATTCAGATCTGGCCTTAGTCTCACTAGTAATATATTAGCATAATAAATCAACTCTTTGGCCAGTATTTGATTGTATTTTGTAAAAGAAATCATTTTGTTGTGTCACTGTATTTATTTCAGTGTTACCGTTTATGTATTGTAAATGTGATGTGATATTTACTGTATAATTCTGTCAGGAATAAGTATCATGTTACATTTTCCAATGCTTGGCAGATTTGCATTACATTTAATACGTAATATTTTCGTTGTAATTTAAGTATTTTATATTATTTGAATGTTTTAGACTTTGAAACATTAAATCTGCACTTTAAATCCGCATACCAGATAATAATTCCTGTATTTAACTCAAAGCAAACAATTCACTACAGATCAAATTGTATTTTAATATTTTAAATTATGAAGGATGATTCATCAGTAATATATATTTAACCACGAAAATTAGTTTTTTAATATGTTTCTGTTAAGCCAATAAAAAGAAGAGTCAATTATGCGCAAATTTTAAAGAAAATGATTTAAAAAAAAATAAATTCCAAATATTTGTATTATGCCAATGAGATTTGTTATGAAATTGCAATGTTATTTTTTATTAAATTGTTTCTCTGATTTTTTCTTTGTTCATTATTTATTTTCAACAGACCTATTAGTAATTCTACACCATGACTTGCATTTCCTAAAATTTTTAAAATTCAAACATACACGTGTATATCCAAGAAGCACAAAGCTGGTTGATTTGGGGGGAATTTTAGAGTCGTTTTACGGGTGTAATTGGACCCCCCACGGTGCCAACGTTAAGATGCCTCATTACCATTAGTGAACAGACTTATGCTTCATTTTGTTAATGTGATTTACGGTAATTTTATCTTATGTGGGGAAGGGTTGTGACGGGTTAATTAGCACCAATTAGTATAGCACAAATGAAATACAAAAATATTGTTTTGATTTGCCATGGTATAGAAATATATTTAAGAAACCATAACAAATTTGAAAAAAAAATCATTAACTTAAAGAGTGCATATTTTGTTCAACAGTTCAAAACAAATATTAAATTGAAAAAAAGGCTTCCTCCTGTACAACGTTTTGGCATGTATTTTTTAAGGAAAAAATAAACAGAAGAGGAGAGACGGGCACTGACGTTGTATGCATGCATGAATGAACAAATGAGTATTCTTCTTCCCCTTCTATCACTTACCCCCGCCCCCTTCTCGTCTCCTATCTCTCACTTCCCCTGTCCTTTATTCCAAAACAGCAACCTAAACTCAGTGTATAGTCTAGAAGAAAGATAACTCAAATCAAATTTTGAACAGCTAGGCAGGAAAATTTTAAATGGAATTGCGGTTCATCGTTAAAATAAATCAAGCTCTTAATATTTACGCCAATGAAGGTCAAATTTAGCTAGCGTATATACATTCTTTAAATTAGTAGATAAAGTCATGCGATTACAATACCATGTGAAATCTAAACTAATGGATTGAACTTTGTGAAATGTGAGTAAAAGAAAAACTTTGACTGTTCACGGACCATTGCTATGCATTGACTCTATACATTTGAATTTGTCATTCTGCTGCGAGGATCACATTCATGATTAGGGTATTTCAAGCTTTAATGGATGACTCGGGCATTCATTGAAAATGACACCCATCAATAAATTCAGTCAGAAAAGATGTCAGTGTATTCCGTTAACAAGTACATACACATGTACATCTCCATAAAGAACAAATAAAAGAAAACACTCATCCACACGCACACACATTCACGCACACTTCCTCACACCCACCCACCCACCCAGAGAGAGAGAGAGAGAGAGAGAGAGAGAGAGAGAGAGAGAGAGACTGTATTACATCAAAGTCATGTCTGAATTGACCTTCTGCTCTGTAGAATTCTCTTCAAATATCAGATATATGAGTACTAAATGTAATTGTCTCCTGACAACAATTTCCACGCGCATATTGATGCAGAATGCAATTAAACTCTGATTTGGATCACAGGTGTCAAAGAGTCAAGCATAGTAGTTTAAATATCCATATATCCAGCATTGTGTTTCCTTCAAGTACAACAATGCTTCTGTAAAGCTTCTTCATTGATTTAACCTTGATAAGTTGTGTATTGGGGAGTCAACTCAAAACAATGAACTTCAATACTAATTTTGATTGCATCAAAAAATTATTTTAATAGATTAGTTGATAATATACAGCAGGTACTTGTTTACACAGACACTGTTGTCTGGGTGCGGAGATTCAAGGTATGTTGCCAATTTTTCTTTCCTTTTTTTTTGGCCAACATCTGCTGATATACGTATTTTTCTATGTTGTAGTCATGTTTAAGTGGATATATCTATCTTTTTCCTTTCCCTTTTTTGGAGAGAGAGAGAGGGGGGGGGGCTCAAAAATGAGAAAGGGATTAGATGTACTTTTATAGCTTAAGTTTTGTTGTAAGATCAAACCTTTTTACTTGTAAGTGGAAATTAAAGTGTAATAGATAATGTTTGTAAAGCATTAACACCTATTAAAAGAATAACTGACAACAATAGTAAATTCGAAATATTTGGTAATCAATAGTTCTTTAAATTTAACTTTTATTACCATGCCACAAGATCTCTTTGCAAATATAAAAGTTAAGAAATTTGATGAGTGTGGTCTGAAACTTGTTAACAAGATTTAGAATTTGCCTCCCGCTTTTTTCGAATCCTCATCAGAAAAAACATCGTCTTTAAACATTATCTTTTCGTCTTGAACTCCTTGTTACATGTAAAGCAGTATAGCCAATCTTTTGAATATGATAAGTAGTGTCCTGGAGATATGCAGTAAGGTTTTAGAACTTCTATTTTCCCCCGGTGGGCCAATTGTGGGTCGTAAAGAACGTTTTTCTACAAAAATCCTCTTCCTAAAACTCCTCTAATATCTAAAAAGTGGTCAATTCAAGTTTTGAATATGATTGGTGGTGTCCTGTAGATCTGCAATGGCCAATTCAAGTTTTGAATATGATTGGTGATGTCCTGTAGATCTGCAATAATGCTGCAGTTTTCATTTTCTCCCTGGGGACCAATGGTGGGACGGAAAAAAGTTTTTCTATGATAATCTGGTTCCCAGGCTCCTTTTAGGTTTTATGCAGAACCAATTCATCGATTGGAATATGAAATGATGGTGTCCTGTCAGTCTGCAATAAGATTTTAAGGTTTTCGAAATAAGATTGTAAAATTTTCATTTTCACTCTAGGGGGCCAAATAAGGGTCGAAAAACAACGTTTCTCTACAAATCATCCTCAAACTCCATTTTACAAAGTGTATAGCCAAATGATCTTTTGCAATATGATTATTATTATTACGGAAGATATACAATAAGGTTTCGGAATTTTCATTTTCACCCTGGGGACCTATTTGGGGTCGAAAAAATGACGCTTTCTACAAAATTTTGGTTCCCAGAAATCCTCTTAAATATTATGAGGTAGCAAAGTTATATAGCAGACGGCGGGTGTGACCGGTCGGCAGGGGATGCTCACTCCTCCATGGCACCTGATCCCACCTCTGATGTTTGGAGGTCCGTGTTTGCTCTGCTCCTATTTTGTATTGTTTAATGGACTTTTGAGCTTGAATACTGTTCGTTATCTCCATATATTTCATGGAAAACATGTATTATTGGTGATGTCCTGTAGATGTGCAATAGGGTTTCGGAATTTTCATTTTCAAATTCAGAGCAAATTGGGGGTCGAAAAAATGCCTTTCTTCCAGAACTTTGTTCCCAGAACTCTTACTTTTTACAAAGAAGCCATTTCTTGTTTTGGAATATGATTGGTGATGCCCTGTAGATGTGTAAAAAGGTTTAGGAATATTCAAAGGGAAAGCCAATTGGGGAACAAAAAACGACATTATTCTTTTAGAACAAAATCTGGTTTCCAGAATTCCTCTTAAATTTTTTTAGAACAAACCTGGTTTTCACAATTTCTTTTACTTTCTACGCATTAGCCAAATCAATAGAACATGATTGGTGGTGTCCTAGAGTTAAGAATTTTATCTTCCCCCTAGAAGGCGAACTGGTGGCGGAAAATTGATTTTTTAACACAAAACTTTCTTTCCAAAAGTCCTTTTTAAACACAATTTATACTTCATTAAAATCTGGAATAACTACTATTACTTTATCAATAGTTACATGTACCCAGGTACAAAGAAGAAGAATTTTAGAGGCAAACACTTTTGTATGTGTTTACGTCATGTAACAACATATAGTATTCCATTTAGTAATATGTTGATGTCATATCGCAGAGGTCAAGGTCAGTAAGAATTGTATCGAAGAGGAGAAGAGGCATCTGTTTCTATAGAAAATTCGACTTTTTAGAGAATCTCTTCATATCATGTAAATCCTTTTTGGATATATCTGAAAAGGGTTAAATGAATCTTTCCTCTACAAGGAAACATTTAGTTGCATGTTAACCTCTGTTTATAACATAAGCTGCATATGTGGGTTGCTGAATATTTATTATCATTTTTTACATTTAAAACAAAATTCGTAAAAAAAAGTCTTCTCTTTCAGTGAAGCTATTCTTCATTTAGACAAACCCTTTTTGCAAGTTATTTTTTCTTTTATATTTGAGTTCAGAATGTACCTTCTGAAGGAAAATCGCACCAAATGAGGGGATCAAATTTAAAAGCCAGTTTTTGGGGGGTGGGGTGGGGGTGGAGGGTAGGTAGATGGGTCTTAAAAGCCAGAGTGAGACTAGTTACAAAAAATCCTACTTTATCAGCCATTAAAAAGGATTATCTTCCTTTTGCACTTCGTCAACTTTTATGAATGGATACAATAATGCATACTAAAATTATTTTAATAATACATGTGAATATAATTATACATTTTTTTTAATTGACTATACCATGTATTTTAGTTATTTTTTCCCCAAATCACGAATATTTTTATAAAAAGAAAGTATAGACGATTTATTTTTTAATAAGAAGAAATCTTTTTATCGACCATTTTACATTTAGGTGAAAGCATTGAATATTGCACATCTATGACAACGACAATGTCATCTGGACTTTTTTTCAAACTATATAGATGAACGGAAACAGGGATATTAGAACACGTGTTCCAAATGCAGTAACATAAAAAATGTATTTACAAACCGGAAACGTCGATCCTGATGTGCGTGTTTGATTTGATTCCCTCTGGCACTTAACAGCCTAATTAATTAGGCAAAAAAGTCCTTGACATTGTGGTTCTTTTGTAATGAAAAGTATATTGGCCTCATTTTTTCCGTAGTGTAAAGTGTAGGTGGATGATAATCACCGATGTGTGACGAGTTTTACATAATGTTATCTGATTTTCCTCCCGTCTTGCATACTTATGATTTTTTAAAGTAACAGGACCATAATTGCTTGATGCCAATAAAATCAAGCCTTAATCTGAACTAATTTCATAGACATATCGGTATTCAATAGATAAAACTCATTATTAATCAATTATACTTTATACTTTTCTTTTACTAACAATGTAGAATTGACTGCGTGGGAAATTTTTTCATTAAGGAATGAAATTTTTGCGCACTTTTTAGTGGAAATATCAATAAATTGGAAAAAAAAGTATTAAAATAACTCTGTTTAGTTGAATTTAATTACCCGCAAAGAGCTCTCGTTTTAGTAAATATAGGGTACTGTGTTATCTTCCCGGCAGTCTTTTAATTCGTTCATCTCACTATTTTCTTCCTTAATCTTCTCCTATATAAATTTAAACCGGTTGCCAAATTCAACTTATGAATTATGATTGGTGGTGTCCTGTAGATGTGTAGTAAGGTTTCGGAGTTTTCATTTCTTTCTAGGAGTTCGGAAAACGATGATTTTCCTCCAAACCTTTTCCCAGAACTCCTCTCACGCAAAATAATATTTGGAATATGATTGGTGGTGTCCTGTAAACCGGTTGCCAAATTCAACTTATGAATTATGATTGGTGGTGTCCTGTAGATGTGTAGTAAGGTTTCGGAGTTTTCATTTCTCTTTCTTGGAGTTTGGAAAACGATGATTTTCCTCCAAACCTTTTCCCAGAACTCCTCTCACGCAAAATAATATTTGGAATATGATTGGTGGTGTCCTGTAGATGTGCGAAATAAGGTTTTATTCGCTTTTCATGCTTTGGAGAAATAAGGGGCCGAAAATTTAGAAATCCTTTCAAGCCCCCCCCCTTTTTTTTTAAATTTACACATAAATTTTCTTTCAAAAACTCCGTATTAAACAGAATGCTTCATTAAATTCTTTAATTTCAGACTGGCAATAAATTTATCAATGAAGTACTACCATTACAAAGCCCATGGGTCACATGCTCATCTGAATATATTATTATGACAATGACATGAAAAATAAAGAAAAAAAATTGATGGTTTAAAATAATTTTAAAAGATTACACGTATTACCCAAAGAAACTGAAATGCCATACGAGTATTACTCTTCAAAATAACGACCCTGCAATAACCTAAGATTTCAATCAGAAATAGCTTGTAGTTAGTTTTTTTTTTTTTTTTTTTTTAAAAAAAAAAGAATGTGTTGATGATAACCGATTTCAATCGTTTTAGAACACGGGATGAAGATACCATGGGACTTTGCTGCTGTAAACGAGAGAGTCTTATCGAACACGATGATCACCATGACGACAAGAAAAGTGTCCTTGAACCACATGGAGAGAACGTTTCTGCATCTTCAATTCACCCTAGTCTCTTCTCCTCTAACTCCATTGCCAATCCTTGCCGACTGACGTGGTTAACAGACGTCCATGTCAATAATGTGGACTCCGAGGATGACGAGAAGAAGCATACCTGCCGAATTAGTGGGCTTTGTTGCCTTGACAACGGAAGAACTGTGCTTTTGGACCGAAATAATCAAACTTTAACCGTCTTTGACCCACAATTTAAATATGCATACAGACAAAAGATTAGAAAGCAACTCATTTCACTAACTTCGTTTGAATTTGATGACATTGCCATCTTAGAAACTGGTTTTATTGGATTGTACAATATTTCCGGGAAATACGTCACACGTCTTCCTAAACGGTTTGCCGTTTGCAAGAGTTCTAGAACAGTGGCGTTCAATGGTACTTGGTTTGCAGTATTGTATGTACAAGATGGTAAAGACTTCGTCAAAATTTACTCGAAAATTGGAAATGAATATGTAAATATACCTCTAAATGTTCAATTTGATAGGAAAAAATATCGATCAAATAACATAGAACTGGACAGGACTAACGACTTTTTATATATACCAAACATGTCCGAGAAGTGCATAACATGTGTGAATTTTCATGGGGAAGTAGTTTGGAACTCTGTAACTGTAGACTATATTTTACATCCCTCCTGTTTAAAGTTGGAGGGTAACTTTATCTTTTGCTGTGATTGGTTGACTAAAGGTGTCAATCTTGTCTCCTTAGATGGAAAACGATCAAGTTCTATTTGTATCGACGGCGTTAGGAAGGCAAGATTCATAGCGTTTCAAAGGAAGAAAAGCCATCTGATGATTTTTACTGACTTCAAATACAAACTGCGTATATTTGATGTCCTCTTGCCTCCGGAAGAGTCCTAAACTTTAAAATACTGATCGGAATATTATCTGTAAATCATCTCATCAAGGCTGAGATAAGACAAATCGCGCTAGGAAGGAGTGCTTTTGTTTGTTCGTTTGAACTCTTCTACCAGATCATTGTTAATTCTGCTTGTTAAAACTTTTGATTCGCCGACAAAATTATCATTGAGTGGGGCTCTTTTGCATCAATCTGATTTCCGTCAATAAAGAAAATGATCGATCTCTATTTCCTTTAGAACCCTTATTTTAATTATAAATTCGGAACCTGTACCAGTCTCTGCAGATCATTTCAGTAAAATAATGTGAGTGACCGATTCTGTTTGCTTTTTTCTCAGAATAGTACTTGTGCAATTAAGGACCTCTTGCAGTCTCAGAAAGTACTAGTACTCAAATAAGTATCTTCTCTCAATAAATATTTTGAAGCTACCAATTTCTTTAATGCATTTTGTTCAGACATGATGCTTTTCCCTCTAAAATTATATGATTTTTTAACCATTGTCTTTATTAGCATTTCTATATCGAAGTGAAAAGAAACAATATTCCTTCAAACAAACCAGAACATTTGACGAGATGTTTCCTGAGAATGTGTCATATATTTTCATCGTACCTAATTTAGTAGAAAGAAATGAAAACTAATGTTGATATTGATTAGAATTAATAATATCTTGATCAAATTGAATCTTAATTTGACAAGATACAAATGTAGTGGTCTTTATACACAGTCACACATTTAAAACAGTCACACTGAATCAATCCAGGGTGGAAAACTAATTGAATACCTAATAATAAATATTAGTTTGTACATGGTTTACCGACCTTATCTATGGTTTAAGTTGATAGCAGCTGCGCAAAGAATTCATGAATATGTGAAGAAAAAAATCATAAGAGCATTTAAGCAAGCAATTAAATTCTGAAAATACAAACACTATCTAGTATATACCACTGCCATAATTATAAGAATACTCGAAACACAGAAGCAGGAAAAATTCGAGGGGAAATCGCTTGCCTTTGTGAAACAAGATGTGTTTGTGAAACACTGATGCCCCCCTTATAGCAAAGGTTAAACTTTCTCAAATGCAAATCAAATATGTTGGTACCCAAAATAAGGTCTTGTCTCTAGAAATAAACCGGTGAAATATGAAAGCCCTAGCAACAACCATTGAATAGATATGGAAAAGATTAAAGTTTTTTTTTCAAAAGTATGTCAAACATCAAGGTCAAACAGTCAAAATTAATGGTGCCCAAGGAAAGGCATTGTCCAAGAAATACACAGGTGAAATATGAAAGCCGAAGCACTAATCGTTCAAAAGTTATGAACAAGGTTAAAGTTTTCCAAAAGTAGTTCAAACTCCAAGGTCGTGGTCAAAGGGTCAAAGTTGTTGGTATCCAAAGAAAGGTCTTCTCACAAGAATTTCATATGTGAAGTAGGAAAGCCCTAGAACCAACCGTTCAAAAGTTATGGCCAAGGTTAAAGTTTTTCAAAAGTGGGTCAAACTCCAAGGTCAAGGTCAAAAAGTCTAAGTTGCTGGTATTCAAAGGAAGGTCTTGTCACAAGGAATACACATTTGAAGTATGAAAGCCCTAGCACCAATTGTTCAAGAGTTATGGCCAAGGTTAAAGTTTGGTAAAAATTTTGCAAAAGTGGGTCAAACTTCAAGGTCGAGGTCAAAAGGTCAAATATAATGGTACCCAAAGAAAGATCTTGTCACAAGGAATACACATGTGAAATATGAAAGTCATAGCTCCAACCAATCAAAAGTTATTGGCAAGGTTAAAGTTTTTGCGGACAAACAGACGGACGAATAGGGCAAAAACTATATACCCCGAATCTTCGATACGGAGGCATAAAAAAATATATAGGTACAAATATATTCAAGACTTTTTATTCTACAAAACTTCAGTCTACTGTCTACGGAAGCGTATTAGTGCCATGTAATATTTTCTTTAAAATTGAAAATTCCAACTTTAAAGTTGGTTTCTCCAACTTTAAGGTTGGGAATTCCAACTTTAATCCTGGCTTTTCCAACTTTGAAGTTGGTAATTCCAACTTTAAAGTTGGCTTCTCCAACTTTAAGGTTGGCTTCTCCAACTTTAAAGTTGAAAATTTCAACTTTAATCTTGGCTTTTCCAACTTTGAGGTTGATAATTCCGACTTTAAAGTTGGCCTCTCCAACTATAAAGTTGAAAATTTCAACTTTAATCTTGGCTTTTCCAATATAAAATATAATTTTATATAGGATATAGAGAACATAGTAACTTCATACAACTCTGTAAATGAGAGCATTTCAACCATACCTATTTTAAAAGAGATAAGACATACATACATTTGTTGAGAATGTGTTTAAACAAACAGACCATATTAGGTGTTTGATTTATATAGGATGAATCAACATTTTTCATGCTACAAAGACATTTGTACAAAAAGGTATCGATTCTGAATTTGAAAATACAATTTTTCTTTCTTTCATCATATTGATGAAATTGTTTATATCCATTATAATTGTAAAATAGCAACACGAGTCTACAAATAAACTACTAAGTACTGTAAACCAACTTTTATTCGCGTGCGAGAAATTTTCGCGAGGTTCGCGGGAGCCTCGTCAACGCGAATATTTCTTGCCGCGAACCAGTCCTTAAAGTCTCTGTGTCTATTAACAACAGATCTAAAAAAGGCTTGATCGCGAAAATTAATCGTCGCGAACTAGTTTACCCCCAGTAAATCGCGAAATAAAGTCGCCGCGAATAAAAGTTGGTTTACAGTATTTGAATAAAATGTATGAAGCCCGAAACACATTTAAGTTGGAAAAGCCAAGATTAAAGTTGTAATTTCCAAGTTTAAAGTTAGAATTACCAATTTCTAGTTGGAATTTCCAACTTTAAAGTTGGAATTACCAACTTAAAAGTTGGAAAAGCCACGGAAAAGCCAACTATAGAGTTGGAATTACCAACATCAAAGTTAGAATTACCAAATTTGTTGTTGGAATTTCCAACTTTAAAGTTGGAAAAGCCATCTATAAAGTTGGAATTACCGACTTTAAAGTTGAAAAAGCAAAGGTTAAAGTTAGAATTACAGTGTACCAACTTAAGTTGGAAAACCAACTTAAAAAAATTAAAAAGATATTTCGTTGCACTAATACGCTTCCGTAACGGTCAAATTGAACATTGTTTTATTGCATGCTCAAATTCAAACTGTGTCTAAACCCCCAAAAGATCTTTTACTATATAGCAAGCTATAATGATCCTAGACATTTACCAAAGGAAAACTAACCCCAATTCCCAGTATTTTTTTCTAATTAAGATCTAGAGTAAGTGCAAGTTACTTCTTGGCATAAATTCTTTGCCTGAGTAGGCGAAATATTGATAGATCATAGATAATTCCCTGTTATTACTGCAAACCCATTCAAAACACGTTAAACGATTGCAACCTTTTTATACCTCCTCAAATTAGGCTGACCATGTTCAAAGCATTGATCAACCCAAAGTACCTTCTAATCTCGTTGATGCAGGCATGTCATTCAAGAACATGGGTCCAATTTTGAGTAATTTTCCGATTGTCGAAGTCGTCTTGAAAGTATATAACGATTGGTACGGGGCGGGGAGGGACATTTCGCTTCACACATTTATTGGCAGAATTTATAATACATCATCGATCTGTGATTCTTCATTCATGGCAATTTATTAAAAAAAAACAAACAAAAAAAAAACAACAAAAAAACAAAAAAAAAAAACAAAAAAAAACAAAACAAAACAAAACAAAAAAAAAGAAAGAAAAACAACAACAACAACAACAACAACAACAACAACAAAAAAAAAAAAAAAAAATTAAAAAAAAAACCTTTGATAGATTTAACTGCAAATTTGGGTTTTTTCAGTTCTTTTGATATGGATTGGTAATTGGTTCTCATTTTTTATATCAATGAATAGAGATTAAATTATGGGAGGCCATACTTTTTTAGGACCTAGAAAGAAATTTACACGAGTGATACTAGAGGAGAGATATGTTATTATTATATTTTATTAACTTGCCATTTTTATATCAGATGTATGGCATTCAAATTATCTCACAAAGTACTTTATATTTAAGGTATTCTACCTAATAGGACATAATTCTCTATCATCTATTGCAGAAAAGCTAAATCTCTATCATTATATATCCATCTCATTTAAAATACACTGGCATTCATCTAAATCATTTAGAGTAGGACTTACCAAGAGAAATTTTCATAAATATAATTATCTAAGCAGTAATTGTAATCAACGAAGATTGCATTAAGGTCTAACTACATAATTAGCTAATTTTTTAAAATAAAATTTTAAATACTAAGAATACAATCAAATGCTGTGGTGAAAAAGATGTATTTTCTCATAAGGAATGATACAAGAATAAACGTATACATCCTTCGAAATTACATAAAACTGCAAATATATAATCATGTTCGACAGAATTTTACATCATACATTACATAAAGGAATATTCTTGTTAAACAGCGTCCACAAGAACTTGTTATAACAGTTAACATGATATAAAATTTAATTTTTAAAAAAGTGAAATCTTTGCAAAATGACAATGGGTTCAATGATTATCGTTTGTCACATTTGGTGCTTTGAATTGAAATTAACGTTTAAATAAAAGACAAGGCATATGTATAGTAACGTCTCATCTGAGGAAACGTTCAAACCAGCTCGTATTGTGGAAGTTTGTCTCTGAAAACCTAAAATGGTTCTCAGCAAACACCAATACAACTATTAACTATTATACTGGTTGAAGACCAGAGGAGCTTAGGTGATGGTAAGGTGTCTGTCCGTCTCTTTGTCTGTTAGCAATTTTTCAAAATGCTACTCCTCCTCCAACTTGGAGCAATATACATTATACAATATATATATATATATATATATATATATATATATATATATATATATATATATATATATATATATATATATATATATATATATATATATATATATATAATCTTTTTGATTTCGACGAAGGGTGTAGTCATGGTTTTAAAAATAGAAATTTCTACGAATTCCTTACAGTTTTAGTCCGATTTTAATGAGACTCGGTACACAAGTAACCTACACTAAGATACATAATTCTAATCATCCGTCTTTGATTTCGATATTGCCATGGTTACTAAAATAGTAATTTTTATGAAATTATCTTCACACATTAACATTTGGATGAACATTGTTGGGGTATTAAAAAAAAGTGAAATAACATTTGATCATTTTTTTTTTTTATAAAAAGTCACATTTTCTACAGAT